TTCATTCTGATTTTGTTTACATAGACATTGATTCATTTTCTTTGAATAAAGGCATACCCACCGATGACAACGCTACCACCGGAATAAAGGATTGAGACTTGAAGTCTCGGGTAGAAATCAACAAGAACAAGGAAGAACACAACACTGTTTGAGCACAAAGAAGAAGTACGACAACATAGAGAAGACACTTGGTGAGACGAGGCAGAAAGTAGAGGATAAGATGGTTTTGAAGGGAAGATTTGAAGTAAAGAGTAAGCTCTTATAATTGTTCATGTTGGGAATTTGCCACTGATTGTTAAGAAAAGCTCAACTCAAAGGAATTTAGCTAATCTCGAACGATTAAGTTCAAATTATGCTCATTGATTTTTTTTATTTCCTTTAATCTTGATTGATTAGTCAAAGAAGACAAGGAAATGAGCTGTATTGTTTAAGCAAATCAATGACAAAGCTTCAAGGTCAGCTCTTGAAATTCTAAATTCTAATGAAATCTATTTTGAATTTTGGTTGAAAGTCTCTTACTTTATTATTTGATGTATGATTTGAAGTTTCAGTTATGATATTAAATATGGGATGGTAGCTATAACTTTTCGTCAAGAAGGGAAGTTTGAGAGTGGAGCTTGAGACAAAAGTGCCATAGATATGTGCAAAAAGTTGATGTCCTTATCATTTGGTTGCCTGATTGGCTTGTGTCTCATCTGCTCTTTTAGGCTTCTTCTTCATCTATGATATTTAAGACATGTTTCCAATGGAAGGTAATGCGGAATTTTTTTTAAAGGACTTAATTTTTCAAATAAACCTGTAATATGGACTGTGAACAGGACGAGTTTGTAGGGTTTAATTTTATTTAATTTAAATATTTGCTTTTTACTTCCAAGTGCACCAAGTCTCTCGACAAAAACCATCTTCCTGACGCTCTTCCTATTCGTAGTGATTAGACATAAGCTGAAGAATCATTAATAAGGTCAGTTGGGGATATACCATTTCAGGTTGTTCAGTTCATCACAAAAATAGAGGTTTCGTAAACTATAATATCGTATTTTTTCCACTCTCACTCTCTCTGCTTTAATCTTTAACACAAAATATATGCGAAAACATATCTCTGAATGATGGAAATGCGTTAAAAATACGATTTGGTGAATATTTTAAATTTGTCTTACAAAATATATATTTTATCATTAAAAATTAACTAACAAACAAAAAAAAACAGGTTGAGAAAAATAATAATGAAGAAATATTTGGTTGGGTCCAAAAATAACAAGTATTACATCTACAAAAAATAATGACTATATTTTTATGAGTTCATATGAATGACTACATTTTTATGAGTTCATATGATATTCATATTACCAAATACAAAAAATTAGATTAAGCTTATAGAAAAATGTCTATTAATAAATTATATTAAACAAAAAAAATCACATTTAATGACTTTATTTTTACAAATTTGGATGATATTTATATTATCAAAAATAAAAAATAGGTTAATTTTGTAGAAAAATATAATTCTATAATATATATTAAAACAAACAAAACACATGTGTGTACAGCAGGTATTCATCTAGTCTTATATATAAAAGTTGCTCAACTTTCTCTATATGATTGACACATCAGCATGTGATAGGTTGACACCTGCCTTAAATTTTAATTAATAAATTTTAATATTAATTTTAAAACACTTGAAGAATATGAAAAATTTGTTTTATTAATTGACTCTTAATTAAAATTTATACTACTGTTAAACAAAAATTTATGTTATAACTAATTAAAAATATTGATAGATATGTATTTAATTTTTATATAATTGTAGATTACTTAATAATATTTAGATTACTTAATAATATTCAAGATGTATTTTAAATTAATTTTTTAAATTATTTATAATAAAATACTGACAAGTAACAAATGAAATGACGATTATATTAATTTTATTTTTTAAATTAATTGACTATCAATTAATATTTCTGTAAATGTTAAACAAAAATTTATGTTATAACTAATTAAAAATATTGAATGATATTTATTAATCTTATTATAACTTTAAATTATTAAATAATATTCAATATGTATTAATATTTATAATTTTTTAGAATAAAATATTAACAAGTAAGTAAGTAACAAGTGATGATTATATTAATTTTTATAAAAATATAAAAAAAAAGTTTAAAAATTTTGAAAAGAAAAACCCGCACGTAACGTTATCGTCCGTGATGAAAAAGGGCAGATTTTTCAACTCTGTAAAGGTGCTGACAGGTTGGCTGCATAACTTCTAGCACTTCCATATGCATATCAGTTCTTCTGAAGTAAAGTTCAATGCTTTATCTTAAAATTTTGCAGCATCATTTTTGACCGGTTATCCAAGAATGGTAAAACTTATCTAGAAGCCACTTCCAAGCATTTGAATGGATACGGTGAAGCAGGTTTACGCACGTTGGCGCTCAGTTATAGAAAGCTGGATGAGACTGAGTATTCGGTCTGGAACAGTGAATTTCACAAAGCCAAAACTTCAGTTGGAGCCGATAGAGATGAAATGCTCGAAAAAGTATCTGATATGATGGAGAAGGAATTGATTCTTGTCGGTGCAACTGCAGTGGAAGACAAACTGCAGAAAGGGGTATGCAGTGGAAGTTTGGTTGTGATTCTCACCAAGACGCTAAATTTTGAACATTTTTTTCAGCTTAGTGTTTATTGTTCGTTTCAGGTGCCTCAATGCATAGATAAACTTGCCCAAGCTGGTCTCAAGATATGGGTTTTGACAGGAGATAAGATGGAGACAGCAATCAACATAGGGTGTGTTGTTCTTCTATGCTGCTGATAACACCACGGCCCCGAAACTAGGAGGTTTTTTTATAATTGATACTAAGTGAAGTAAATTCTTTGTTTTTCCAAATGCAGATACGCCTTCAGTTTACTGCGCCAGGGTATGAAACAGATATCCATAGCACTTAGAAATGAAGAGGAATCAAGTTTTGCAGCAGCAGCTTGGAAAAAATGATATCACTTGATTGCTTGAATATGAAAAATTTGTATTAATTAACATTTATATAACCACTTAAAGAATATGAAAATATTGTATTAACTAACATTTATATTAATGTTAAACAAAAATTAATGTTATAACTAATTAAAAATATTGATAGATATATATATATATATAATTTTTATATAACTGTTGATTATTTAATAATATTCAAGATATTAAAATTAATTTTTAAGATTATTTATAATAAAATACTAATAAATAACAAATAAAATGATGATTATATTAATTTTAATTTTTTACAATCAACTTTCTCCATATGCTTGACACATCAGCATTGGAGAAGTTGACACCTGTCAACTAAATTTTAAATAATAAATTTTAATAGTAAATTTTAAAGCATTTAAAGAATGTGAAAAGTTTGTATTAACTAACATTTATATAACCACTTAAAGAATATGAAAAGATTGTATTAACTAACATTTATATTAATGTTAAACAAAAATTAATGTTATAACTAATTAAAAACATTGATAGATATATATATAATTTTTATATAACTGTTGATTTTTTAATAATATTCAAGATATTAAAATTAATTTTTAAGATTATTTATAATAAAATACTAATAAGTAACAAATAAAATGATGATTATATAATTTTAATTTTTTTTATTAATTGACTATTAATTAATATTTGTGTAAATGTCAAACAAAAATTTATGATATAACTAATTAAAAATATTGAATGATATGTATTAATTTTAATATAATTTTAAATTATTAAATAATATTCAATATATATTTTAAATTAATATTTTAAAAAATTTTAGAATAAAATATTAACAAGTAAGTAAATAATAAGTGATGATTCTATTAATTTTTATAAAAATATAATAAAAACAATTGAAAAATTTGAAAAAAAAAAATCTGCACGTTACGTGCGGGTATTCACCTAGTTTAGGATTAACGAATTCGCCACTGTTCTCTAATTTTAAGGGAAAAAAACATCTAATTTGGTTGTTTAATTTTGGTTTAATCGAGTTTATAAATTATTGGTTTTAACATTAAACTTAAACCAGATTAGTAACTAAATTCTGTGAAATTAATCATGACAACAACCAGGTTATTTCAGTATGAAGTGTTAATAGATGTTTTTGGACTTTTATAAAAGTTATCTCAATGGAGATTTAACCATTCAAAAAACAAAAGTGGAGTAATTCTAATTTATCTATAAAACTTTATACATACTCAAAAGATGTCAATATTTAATTATGTGGGATACTTATTAGTGAGTTGTTTTTTGGTTTTTGTAAACCTTAAAAAAATATTGAACTAAAAAACAAATCAATTACTGAATCTCATATCACCTATTCGAAGTCTGAAATCATTGGGGGTAAGTCATTAATCCAAACAATCTCTATGAAAATTTAACAAGTCTTTTGGACTTTTAAAATCTACCAAACTCTATAATAACCCCTAAATCTTGTAATTTTTTTTTGTTCAATCTTAGCGGTAATTATTCTCTTTTGTAATTGGATTTTACATCATTGTTGTAATCTTTTGGGTAATCTCTTTTTTGCCCCAAAAGTCTTTGGTGACACCCACACACACGCACTTGAGTCTTCGGGTCCAACTGGTGACTATTTGGAGAATAACATGAATGATAAGGAAAAAGAATAAAAGGAATCATAGGGAAAAAAATATAAGGAATCAATGTAGAGAAGGAATGGAACAAATTATCATAATAAATGGTAATTAAAAAACAGGAACAAAAAATGGAACAAATTCACATTAAATTGATGTCAAACAATATATTTTTACCATTATTTATTATTTCCTTATCATTCTCTATTCCCTATCAAATTTAATAAGGAATATATTTGTTTTATAATTCCTCTTATAAGAAGGAATAGAGAGGAATTATGTGTAATAAAAATTCCATTTAAATGGTAAAAATATTTGGGAATGGAAAGGAATATCATATTCTCTATCATTCCTTTTTTCAGTTATGGTCACCAGGACCCTTCGTGCGGAACTGTTGTAACTGTTTCTAGAATCATCCCGACCTGAGCTCTTTCTTCCTCATTAGTCAAATCAATCACAGAGACGACTTCAAAAACCAATTCTCTCCTCTTAAAACTCAAAATCAACCGCTAAAACCATGTTCGGCGTCGTCTTCCCCAACCGGAGTTTCCCAATCGACATCTCAACTTTCGTCCAAATCGATACCTTCCACTGGGTTCTCGACATGAACCACTTCGTCGGTAAGTTTCCTCATGACCCTCTTCTCCAATTCCCCAAAACCCTAAAACCCAAATCTCAATTTCTCATTTTTTTCCGGCAGGCGAAGCTTACGATCAAATAGGAGAGATGTGTATCTTCCTATTGAACAACTTCACTCTTCCACCGGATAAAGCATTAGCCGTCTACGTCCAATCTCCAGGATCCGGTTTCGTATTCTGCGGCGCCGTAACCCTAAACCGACCCTCGGCGGTTTTATCTCTTCAGTGGCCGGAGCCGGGGAGTGAAGCTCAGATGCAGCTCACGGCGGGAAATTCGAGTCCTTTATCGGCGAAAATCGGTGTCTCCGTGGAAGATGCGGCGGCGCTTCAGTCGATGGATGTAGCGGCGGGGAGGAGAATCGAGAGGTTGGCGATGAAAGTTGGGGAGAATCTGTTCAATTTCATGCAATCTTTCTGCGGCGTCGATGGGAGTAAGTTGGTTGTTCCGATGGATATTTTGGATCGGTGGTTTAAGAAGTTTCAGGAGAAAGCTAAACGTGATCCTGGTTTTCTCAAAAGCTTTGCTTTGTAGCTTTATAAACACTCAAAGGTTAATGTTTTTGTCTCCTTTGATCTTGTGTTTTTCAACTTGGAAATTAGTGGGAAAGCTAGCTTCACTTCACTACAATTGCGGTTTTTTTCCTGTTGTGATCTTATGTTCTGTATGATGAAACTATGAATTGAAGAAGTAATTTGTAGTTTACTTAGTTCACTTCACTAAGCTCAAAGCCTGCTCTTAGCAACTGAAAGTGTTAGGCTTTATTCACTAGAGAGATCTTCGCTGCACTACAATGGCGGTTTTTCTTGGGTTCTGTGTGATGAATTGAAGAAGAGATTGTAGTTAACTATAGTTTGCCAATGAGAAATATTTGCTTTCAGACATATGAATCACAAAGCCAGTAACTTGATGTTGTTTCAGATATGGTTATGTTCACTAAGCTCAAAGTGTACTTTTAGTGTTAGGCTTTATTCACTAACAGGGAAGCTTCACTGCACTACAATGATGGTGCTTTTTTGCAATTTGGTCGTGATTCTGTATGATGAATATAAGAAGATATTGTGGTTTACTTTAGTTTACAAATGAGATGTGTTTTCTTTCTTGCATATGAATCAGAAATCCATTAACTTGATGCTGTTTCAGATCTGTTCAAAGCCTGCTCTTAGCAATCGAAAATGCTAGTCTTCATTCACTACAGTGGCGATTGTAGTTCAGTATGATAAATTGAAGAAGAGATCGTATTTTACTTTAGTTTGCCAATGAGCATAAATTTGCTTTCACTGTTGTTCTTGCTTGCATATGAGTCACAAATCCATTAACTTGATGCTCTTTCAGATCTGGTTATGTTCACTAAAGCTCAGAGTCTGCTCTTAGCAACTGAAAGTGTTAAAACTTTATCCATTACAAGGAAGCTTCACTTGATTACTGTGAAGAAGATATTGTAGTTTACTTAGTTTGCCAATGAGAAATTGTGAGGATGTGAATATTTTGCTTTCAATATTCTTATTGGTTGCATATGAATCCCAGTTTCAGTAAGTGGATTCTGTTTTCAGATATGGTCTTGTGTTCATAAGCTAAAACCCTGCTCTTTAAGCAATTTAAAGTGTTGAACTTTATCTTTTTGCCCTAAGGTAGATGAAAGATTAAGGAGTAAAACTTTGATTATTAGTGGCATTATCTTGACCTTCTTTGTCCAAGGCTTCAGTGTCTCCTTCTATCTTCCGTTGAGAAACTAAAGTAGGATTTGGTATATGAATATATTCGCTTTCACTTTTTACTTGCTTTCATATTCTCATTTCCAGTAACTGGATGCAATTTTGATATTTTCAGATATGTGCTCTTAAATTCGTATTACTGGTATCGAAACTTGCCACTTCTGTTTACCAAAAAAAAACTTGCCACTTCTCAAACTACTGATTTAGTTCAAATTAAATCCTTGATGTTTGTTTGGTTTATTTGTGGTTTATCATTTAATCTGGGCTTAACCCAATAAATAATCTGGTGTGGGCTGGGTATGTAATTTTTCTTTTTTCATTCTCCTGCATTTATATTGAAAGCTTTTTTATCAAAAGAAAAAAAAAGCTTAATATTAAATGAGTAAGTATTTTGAAAAGTTTTGACTAATTTGGAAAACATGCATGGATGTGCGTCTACAAAAACGGCAGTATACAAGTACGTCCAGTCCAAATAGATTCAAGATTCTAAGCAAAACTTAAATTGTTCTCTTACTCTTATATTTAATGCTTTTTTTTTTCTATTTATCGTTTCAATCTCAATAGCTTTTTTTTGTTTGTATATCCGGACAAATCTCAATTCAACTTTTTATTCTGCAACTTGAGTAGAATGAGATTTTTCTTTCTAGATCTCTTAGTGTTTTTCACCGAATTAAGGTTTTCTCTATAATTGCATTTTTTCAAGAACTTGTCTTCGTCTCCAAGACTCCACCACCGTTGATAATAAAACTAGACATAAGACTTTACAATCAGCAACTTATATAACTTATGATAAGTGTCAGTTATCTTTGCAAAATGAATTGGACCTGATGTTATTAAATCCAACGATGTTAAGGTTTGAAAGGCTTCGTCATGAATAAAATTTCATTCACTATATATGAAAATGTTCAAAATAATGAAATTCCATTCATTTATGAAATGGTAATTGCATAATCGGAATTTAAACTTGGGAGAATTGCTTTTATAATGCAAATTTAAATCTTATTTGTCTTCTTAATGTTTTTTAGAAAAAAGTTGTGCCTTTAATCTATATACTTATTTGTGTAGTGATTTGTTTATGTGTCGCGCTCATAGCTATTTTCACAATCTTTCATTTACGTGTCAGTTCCAGAACGAATTTCGGTTGTAAAAAGAGTTTATCCCTATTTTGCAATTGTCATTTTTTATTGGTTCTTATCTGATGATGTGTAAAAAAGACTTAAAACAAACCAGTATAATTTTAAATCAATTCTATTATGGTTTAATGTTTAATTTTATAGTCAATCAAATCTTTTTTAAAATTATATATAATTGAAATTTTAAAAAAATTTAGCAGAAAAAAATTTTATAAAAAAAAATAGAATCTATATATCTCTTAGTGTTTACCATTTCATATGTATTCGAAATTTAGAAAAAATCTAACAAAAATGTTAAAAGAAACAAAAAATAGAAACTATTTAAAAAGTAATGAAATATCGTTTCAAAACAAAAAAAATAACTGAAATTAAAAAAAAAACTCTAACAAAAAAGTTAAAAAAAAGAAGAAAAAAAAAAATATATATATATATATATATAACTAATGGAATGACGGGTTTTGTGATGTTTAAAACACATAAAACAATGATCAAAATCGAATAATTATTTGGATACTACTATGTTTTTATTTACTCTCGTCTATTTTATATTGTTTTCACAATCATGTCTTCCAACATTAAAATGCAAGAAAATCTAACAAACAAATATACTCAAGAATAAAAAACAAATGAATCCAAACTACTATTAGATTTTTAAACAATTAAATAAAAATTATATCAATCCGCGCAAGATGCTGAAAAGTTAACTAATATTTATATTAATGTTAATCATATTTTACCTTCTAATTTTTGATTTATTAAATCTATTCTATTAAAACAGAAGCACATCTAGTGCTTGCATCCAAACACTCCCAAAGTTTTTTTTATAATATTTTATTTTATTTTTATATTTAATTTTTGAAAATTAGTTATTGATTTAAATATTTTTAGATTTCCTAAAATCTAGGTTATCTTTAATTTAAATTTTAAATTATTAGAAATTTAATTAAATTTAGTTACGAAAATTTGCATTCAATTTAATTTAAATTCAAAAAATTCAAAACAAATTATAATTAAATTTTATTACGAAAATTTAGATAATAATTTTAATACTTTAGAATTCTTAAATACAGAAAAGATTTAATTTTAAATTTTAAATTTAATGAATATTTTTATAAAAATGCATAGTAAATAAATATTTTATCGTATTTTATCATAAACAATCGGTCTAAAATATCAAATATTTGAGATTAATAAATATTTATATTATACAATAATATAATCGAGCTGATTAAAGTTATATATATATTTAAGGTCCATGAGTTAATTTATTAAAACATGTAAGGTATTAAGATGATTTGAGACAACTAAACTAATAAGTTAGCCCGTTTATATATATATATATATACATTTTTTAATAGCACAAATAGTAAATAAATATCTTATTATATTTTTTCATAATCAATTGGCCAAATATTCCATATTAGTAAATATTTATAAGGTTATATAATTATAATTATAGTGTTAGTTTGTCAAAACATGTAAGATATTAAAATGATTTAAGACAACTAAACGGATGGATTAGCAAATTCATAGATATATAGATTGTTTATATGTAAATCTAAATTCACATAATAACAAAGTTTATAATTAACATTAAATCAATGTATACTTAATTAACGTATACTCTTATTCTATTAATATACAAATTTTACTGTTTAAAATTAAAATATGATAACAATTTTTGACTTAAAAAAATAAATAACAAAAATAAATTATATCTAAACAAAAAAAGATAAATGCAATTTATATTGGAAATAAAAAATAAAACATTCCCGTACGGACGCACAGAGTTAAAATCTAGTTTTAATTAAAAACAAAAACAAATCATAAGTGGTCCCACTCAATCTTCTTCTTCGTCTCCCCTCACGAGTCTTCTTCTTCCTCTTTTTGTTTTTTACGTGAGTCTTCTTCTTCTTTGTTTGATGAAATACAAAATCAAAGCAAAACAACTGAAAATCTCTTCAAATAAAATTAAAATTATTTCTTATTGAAATTAAGGACAAACCCAGAACAAATCATTTGAGTCAGAAACTAGTTTTCTTATTGAAACTAAACTCGAATGTTTAAACTCAGAAATGAGTTCTTATTGAAATTAAAATCCGGTATTTCTCCTTTGAGTCATTCAAGACAAGTTTCAACATCGTAGAATTGGATTTTGTTTCTAGGGAATTTACTAATATTAACATCAAAAACAGATTTAAAACGTAGAAAAAAAAATAAATAAAAGATTTTTGAAAATATTCAAATTGGGAAATTAACTAATTTTCCTATATTTTTTTAAGATTTTAGTAGAAGTTGTATTCTACGTTAATGTGAATGCAGACCATATGTAGAAGACTTGTTCTACAAAAACATAGAACCTAATCTAATAAATACGTAGAAGTTGTATTCTACGAACATGTTAAATAAAGTCTATCCAGTAGAACTTGTAATTTACTGTGATATAGAATATATGTAATATATAAAATACGTTCTCCACTAATTAGTAGAATATATAAAGAACTATGGAAAACGAATTCTACAGGCTGGTAGAATATGTAAAGAACTATAGAAATGAGATTCTATGTGGATGTAGAACATAGCACACACATTCTACCATGCATAGAACGGATTTTAAAAATATTTTTTAAAACTTTCTTTCCATAAATGATATCCAAAAATATTTTGTTTTTCTTTTTAAATATTTTTGAAAATTTTAAAATATAGTTTCAAATTTTTTTTTTTTATTATAACTGTTATTATAACTGATTTAAAAGGACAAATATGTCAAAAAACGACCAAAAAAATAGAAAATATTAAAAAGACAAATGTAATTGAATTGACATTATAAAAGCAATTCTCCCTCTAAACTTTGGTGGTGATACATCAACAACGTTAAAACAAACTGTTATATTACATATATTGGCAATGTTTCTCAAAGTTATTGATCTTAGTTTGATTAATTATTTGACAAATTAAACCTATTATACTTGTTTAGAAACTTTCATTTGTTTTTACTATCTTTACCACTTCTTTTTGTTTTGTTTGTTTGATTTGAATAAGTCTCGTCGAAAAAAAAGTTGGGCAATTCATATGAGGAAAATTAATTTCGATCTGCATGTTAGATAGCCGTTGGATCAACCACTCAATATATTTGTCATTGACATAATAAACTTTTCTAATTAACATTTCTTGAATATTTTTTTTTGTTTTCAAAAACTGTAATACCACTTTGGTTGAACTTGAATGAAGAAATCGATAACAATTAATATGGTGGAGTTTGGAAGAAACATGCAAAGGGATATTTGTCTCCGTTCCTATCCAGTGGTAGCAATATCTCTCAATTTTGAAGGCATGCATTCAAGACCGTCTTTAAGTACCACATGTGAATAGAACGGTCGAATAAGGTCCTATTCAAATACGAATTTTCTTATTTGAAAATCTTTAACTATATATTTAAAATTTAAAATAGGGTTTATATTTATATTTTTTTACTATGCTAAATATATGTTTAATAAATAATTTGAACATGGTCTAACGATAGTTTGAGACGACCCGGGACGTACTCTGTTGCGTCCTCATGTTTACCTTGTTTACTTACTTATATAGTATTTGAAATAATTTATCTGGTGTTAGTGATTCAATTGATATGATCAGAAAAATATTATTTTGAAGTAGATGCGAAAATGGTAGGTGAAATGAAAAAATAAATCAAGAAACAAAAACAAAAACTAACATGTGCAGATTTTCATCAGTTATCTTGTTATTATATTGTATTCAATTTTCATTGTTGACTGGCGTAACCATATACTTAGTTCATATTAAAAGCATTGGTATTATAATGAAAAAAAAAAAATCGATTTTGTTTTCGAACATTTAGATGTAAATTCTACAAGATTTTCTATAAGAAAAATTAATAAATGCAACTAAGTCAATTAAAAAAAAATACAACTAATAAGAGGTATATTTTTGACTGGCCGAAGTTGAACCCAGGGACGTATGCTGGTGAAAACGTTAGGTAACACGTGTCTCATCTTAAAAAAAAATTATTAGTACAAAAATTATTTAAATGTCCAAATTTAAAAATTAATTATAGTTTAAAAAAAAAACCTTTGTACCCCAACTAAAATTTTTTTTTAGATCCGTCCCAGGTAGAACTAACGACTGTGCCCAACTTGAATGAAAACTTCTATATCAATTAATTTGGTGGAGTTCGGAAAAGAACAATCAGAGATTATAGGGTCGAGATTATATTGGTATTCTTGGGAAAAATGTGCAAACTAAAAAAAAGTGGATACTTTTTAAGTTCAGATTTTGAAAGTTATACCGACTACTAGTCGTGTGGCGGATAACAATTTCCACTTGTATTCAGTCAATGAACACTGTTGAATAAGTCTCACATTCAAAATTTAACTTTATCCAGAAAGATTATTCAAATTTTGAGTACTTGTATAAGTTCAGTTTTTTTTGTTTTGTTTTGTAATCCAATTCGCTGGCTCTGGGGAATGCCAGATGAAATATTGGCCTCTAATCTCTAAATATTTCTAAGGTAATATACATAAATATTTGGTCTCCAAATTCTCAGAGCCAGCTTTGAATTTAAACTGGCTTGACATATTTTTCTAAAAAGCTTAGCTATATTTATAAGAGAATTTGTGAAGTCATTATCCATTTAACCAATGTGGGACACACAAAAGGAAATGAAAATATTTATTTCATTTCAAAAGAAATAGAAATGTGATTACCTTTTTTGAATCTGACTATACTATATTTACTGTTAATAGTATTGACATAAATATACGAAGGAATGAAAAAGGGGAAATTTAAGTCACTGATCTTAAAAATGAATAATTAAATAAAAAAATTAGAAACTTAAACTGGAGCAAAATGCTGCTAATAAATAGTGATATCACATAAGTCTCAAATATTTTTCTATAATAAATTAAAGATGATGTATAATATATGGAAAATTCAACACACTATACATCAACTTCTTAAATGAAAGGTTTTTTCATGGCGTGGAGATCGCAAATACGACTTTTGAGTTTTGACACACCCAAAAAAAAACAGGTAAAAAACAGAAGGTCTACTTAAGCATGCATTTTATAGGGAAGATCGTTGTCTTATTATTATTATTATTTTTAAAGTAGATCGTTGTCTTATATATGGACGTATCATTGTTTTGCTTATATATCGTATCATTGCATTCATGCATTGGGTCGAACATTGGAAAAAAAGTGATAATACGATATTGTAAGAAATTATTTGTTTCTACTTGCTTTTTCGTAAATTTTTTGTAATTTTTTTTGTAAGATGAAGGGGCTTCGACAACTTCAATCTTGAAGCGCAGATCTTGGAAGGAAGCTACCAGAAGTGGCTTAATAAGAACATTGAATGTGTTGAGTTGTGGAAGAGCCACGGTGGAGATCAAAGATCTCATGTTGGCTTGTAAGAAAATAAAGAAACTTTCATTGGCTTAAAAGAGTTTTGATGAAAATTTAGAAAAAAAACCTTTGAAAATGATATCAGTGATGAGTATATATTTTTTTTAAAAAAAAATCCAAATGTAAACATTTGTCTTTAGAAATTTATAACTTAAATTCAGAGGCTTATGATAAGCTTAAATTCAGAGGCTTATGATAAGCTTATGATAGGCTTATAATATATTGCTTAAATATCAAGAGAATCATGAATTTGCATTTTATGGAAACATTTAGCTTAAAAAAAAAAGAATCAAAAATGAGAAACGAAGTCGATCGATCCTTAGATCATTGTGACTCTGATGCAGAGATCTCTAATAGACTTAAATCATAGAAACATTTGGCTTAGAAACGACGAATTTGATGTTTAAAAAAGCAACGACGAACAGAGAGAATTCGATCATTAGATTGATTCGAGAGCAAATTTGCTCTGATACTATATTGGAAACTAAAGTTTACATATTATTAATTTAATTAAGAGAGTCCAACTTAGAGATAATAGGATGATGCAGAGTAATCGATGTATACAAAAGTGGTATACACAATTTCAGTAATTAGAAATAATAGGATGATGTGGGTTTCCTTAATTAATAATGGGTTATATATTTTTAAAAACTGAGCTTTTAGCCACATGGATTATTCAACAAATAAACAACAGTCAACGAAACCCACATGGATTATTCAACGAAAGCCAACTGATTTACTCGGTAAATATAATATAATAATAGTTCCCACTTTTTAACGCCACGTTTATGCCCTAGCTTCCTCTCTCTATATAAGCTCTCCTACAGAAATTATCATTTCTCAGGCTACGAACAAGCCCTAATTACATTCTTAGTATTCAGTTAACTAGTTTTCTTAACTAGGCTGAGAAAAAAAATGGCAATTAAGCTTGCACTTGTAGTCATACTCTTTCTAGCCTCATGCGCTCTTACAAATGGAAGATCTCTTAGATCTTCGACGAAGCATCTTGATCGTTATAGTTTTCCTCCTAATTTTAGTTTTGGTGTTGGTTCTTCAGCTTATCAGGTTAGTTTTTTATAATGTAATTGTGTTATATATATTGCCTAACATTTTTTAGAAACTAGTGAAACTAAAGGTTAATGTTATGTATATGTTCTTGTGATGCAGTATGAAGGTGCAACCGCAGAAGGAGGGAGGACACCAAGCATTTGGGACAACTTCACACATGCATATCCAGGTATGTATATAATCTATAATACAACATTTATAAATTAATACTTCAAAGAATTAATATGCTTTTTCGGTTCTAAAATTGGTTCATCAACAAAATATTATCTCTAGAACTAAAAAAAAATATAACATTTTCGACGTCGTTATAGAAGTTTGACTGTTATTCCATTATTTTATTAATAAATTGTGAAACTTTTTGGCTGTCTAAATTGTAAGTAACGTGGTAATTGTTTTGCAGAAAGAACAAATATGGACAATGGAGATATAGCAGTCGATTTTTATCATCGATATAAGGTGTGGTTTTATGATTTTTTTTATTTCTTTAGTGAGTGATCGTAACTATTATTTTAATATTTGCCACACCAGAAAATCTGAAACGTGTGTTACAAAATATATTTCTTGATTAAGTAGGTGGCCCCGACATTGAAATTGGCCAAAACCTTAAAGTAATAACGTTTTGTGTGTATTTTTTTTCTTTCATAAACGGGTTTAACTGAGTTACCATAAAATTCACGTGATGAACGAACAGGATGACATCAAGCTGATCAAGGAAATGAATATGGATACTTTCAGATTTTCCATCTCTTGGTCAAGAATATTACCAAGTGAGTAGTACTTGAAGTTTCAAAATATATTTAAAAATGATAATTACATATATAGTTTTGTCTTATATGCATATTCATCATTTGTTGATTTTTCAAATGTTGAATATTCAGGTGGAAAAGTAAGCGACGGCGTAAACAGCGAAGGAATTCAATTTTACAAAAATCTCATTGATGAAATTATCAAGAACGGTGAGAATCAAATACTCAAAAGAGTTTATATATATATATTATTTTTTTTCTAAAAAAACTATTTAAGTCCAACTTTTTCTATTATTTTCTGATCATAAACTGTATATTCAAACATGAAAACAGGCATAAAACCTTTTGTAACTATCTACCATTGGGATATCCCTCAAGTTCTCGAGGATGAGTATGGTGGATTCTTAAGCCCTCGAATCATGTAAGTTTTTTAAAAAAAACAAAACAACAAGAAATGATTATTATATTTGGTCTTTAACTTTTGGTTGGTGTTTTGCTAAAACAGTGATGATTTCCGGAACTTTGCAAGAGTCTGTTTTCAAGAATTCGGTGACAAGGTCGATATGTGGGTAACGTTCAACGAGCCATATATTTATACCGTTGCGGGTTACGACAAGGGCACTAAAGCAATGGGACGATGCTCAAAATGGGTAAACAGCTTATGTGTGGCTGGTGACTCGAGCACAGAACCTTATTTAGTCTCTCATCATCTTCTTCTAGCTCATGCTGCAGCTGTTGAAGAGTTTAGAAAATGTGACAAGGTATATTATCTAACTTTATATGGAAGGCTCGAAAAAAAAACATATAAGATCTTTAAAAAAAAATTATTTTGTGATAATAATCAAGTCTTTTTTGTTGTTGCAAAACAGATCTCACAAGATGGTAAGATAGGCATAGTGTTATCACCTATGTGGGTCGAACCTTATGATGTTGATTCACATGCTGATAAAGAAGCTGTTGAACGAGCTCTTGACTACTATCTTGGTTGGTAAGTTGAGACTTATGATGTTGATTCTCCTTTTTACAATATTTTATGAATTCAAATACAAGTTTGTGCAAGAATTGATCTTAATTGTTTCTCTTGTGATTTATGTAGGCATCTTGATCCTCTAATTTTTGGAGACTATCCAAAAACGATGCAGAAAAACGCTGGAAATAGATTACCTTCTTTCACCAAAAAACAATCTGAAAAGATTAAAAACTCGTTCGATTTTATCGGGATGAACTACTACAGTGCTCGATATGTCACACACCAGCTTCACAATGACCCTTCACGGCTTCGTTTCTCGACGGATCAACATGTGGATTACAAACGTAAGAACCTTACAAAAGAAACTAAAGAAAAAATTGGCTTAGGAGTTTTGAAATTAACAATCTCTAATTTAGTAATTATAATTTTACTGAAACTGATAATACTTTTCTCTTATGTTTTAATAGTGACAAATCGTAGCGGCGATTACATTTCTTCAGAATCGGTATGAACAACAATATTAATACCTCTCGAAATTATACTTGATCTCTTAGATTTGAATTACAACTTCGATGGCCTAATTAATTATTTGCTTCTTCAATTTCAGGATGATTTAAAATTTATTTATGTCTATCCCGAGGGCATACGGAAACTTCTAAATTATATTAAAAATAAATACAACAATCCAACTATCTACATTACTGAAAACGGTAAGAACGTTTCAGGGATTAATCTCGATTATTTTCACCTAATTACATCTTTTTATTTAATAATTCAGCTTAATAATTAATCAAGTCAATATATTTACAGGATATGATGACTACGATGTTGGGACAGTCCCACGTGAACAACTATTAAAGGACACAAAGAGAATAGACTACCTCGAGAAACATCTTCAAGAACTCCACAAAGCTATCACGTAAGTAAACTTCACTATTATAATTAAAGAAATAAAAAGTTTGATTTAAGCAATGAGACTAATATAATCTTATACAAAATGCATGCAGTGTGGATGGATGTGACGTTAGAGGCTATTCTACATGGTCGTTGTTGGATAATTTTGAATGGGAACATGGATACACGATGAGGTTTGGTCTATACTACGTTGATTATGCAGATAATCTAAAACGATATGCTAAAGATTCAGCCAAATGGTTTAAAAAGTTCCTAGAAAGATCGGAGCAATCGACACCGTTGGATCTATTTAAGAGTATCAAAAAATGGTGGTCTGCTTTGCTGGTGATCTAACTTCTTTGGGAGTCATGAGAAGCAAACAACTGAGTCCTTGTTCAATGAGAAATTATAAAATATAGATAGATTCATAGATACATGTTTACTACGTACGCAGTCATGTTTTTTACAAAGTTCATGTGTAACTTTCGCAGCAATACACAAGAACAGTAAATAGTAGATGTATGTAAATGAATAAAGATACATTTATACTAAAAAATTGTCCGCATATTTTATAGGTTCCAGAAATATATATAAAATAAATTAGTTCCTTTTTTAAAAAATTTAGACTTGAAGAGTCATACGAAATGAAAAATATTAAGACAAACAAGTCTCATATATGGTTCCTGTTTTATTCGGTATAAGTCTCAAAATTGATTATTATTTTTTTTAAATAAAGTTAATAACTAAAAACAAAACAAAAAATATTAGGTTTAACATAAAAAAGAATATTAGGTAAGAAAAAAGTCGAAGAGAAAGAAAAACTAATAAAACAAATCTGTTTTTTTTTATGAAATAACACACGTGAGAAGATAAAATAAAATAAATTAAACCCTGGACTCCTGAAGAGATCTTTTGTGATATCTCGATCGACTTTTAAAATTTATAAATCAATTGTCGGTCAAAGAAGAATCATTTAAGTAAATCAAACTTGTTTAAACAAACTTGTTTAGTCAGTCGTTTTGAAGTTTCTTGAAGAGTCGGTAGTTTATGTTGGTGCCGTTGAAAGAAAACTTAAGAGAACGAAAGAGAGAGAATTGGATTTTCACCGTCAGACTCAGCTTCCACTTGGGTCTTTTGTTTGTGTTTTTGTATATTACTCCGTTTTGTTTCATATTTCGTATTTTCAATAGTTCTTGTTCATTTTTTTATGTTGCTTGATGTTTTGGTTTCTTACGTTTTATAGTCGAAAGCGTGCATCCATTTGTGTAATTTCGTTTGCGTTATTTCCTTTTGCATCCCGGTGATCGGATTTTTTTTTTTTTTTTTTAACCAAACCAGTTTTTTATATTATTAGTTGCGGTTACAGTATGACGGAAGTCAAGATTTTAAGCATATTACATCAAAGTAAAGATTAGACCACAAACAAATGTGGTACTTAAACAAACCGAATCTTCCGCTTCGATTTAGTAAAGACAATGAATGGCGGATTCCATTTAGCCACGACCACCTCTATTACCCCGACCACTACGACCGCCTCTGTTTCCACGCCCAACCGCAACGGTCTGCCAAACCATCTCTTTAGCTTTCGCTGAGGGTCGTACCGGTCTTTCTCTTAGGATTCTTTTGCCCATTGGCGTCATAAGAGTCGTCGGGTCAGAATCCTCATCTGAAACCTGTGATTCTTCTTCATCATCTGAAGTATCCAGATAGGCAAACCGGTTTGAACTCAAAGTTTTGTTGGACGAGGACCTACGTATACTGTGCTCCGCTGGAGCAGAAGAAGTGGAATCTTGTTTAGTAGTGTCTATCTTTTTTGATAAGACCATGGAACCAGTATTGAAGCTGGTAGGATTCTTTGTGACCTTAGGCGAAGAAACTGGCTTTGAGGCAATGGATTTTTCACCTAGTGCAATGTGAGTAAGAGGGGTGGTGGTCCCATGTTCTGAAACTTGCGTGACAGTAGTAGTTACGTCTGAGTCTTTAGCAGCGGACTTAGTCTCTTTTTCCCTTTCTTTAGCAACATCAACAATCAAATCATCAGCCACAATAGCAATTGGGGCTTCTGAGATAATTGTACTCACGTTGTCTGTTGGAGCAGAACTAGAAGTTCCATTAGCATTCAATAGCAAGCACCGAGATGCTTTGTGACCCAATTGTCCACACTTACGACAATTTGAAGGCAGCCATGAGTAGATGACATCCACCATTGAAACTACATTGCTTGTATCCACTAAAGCAACCTTTTGTGGGAATGCTTTGTTTAGCTTTACCTCTACTAGGATTTTTGCTTCTCCCATCTGAGTAGGATCAAGCCACGACTTCTCCGTTAACATAGGTTCACCAATGCCTGATGCAATCCATTTAATCACTACAAAAGAATATAGCTGGTATGGGATGTTCTTGAGAGTTAACCACACTGGAACTGTAGTAATTTCTGGCAAAGAAATAGTTTCAGCCGGTGTCCAATTTGACACGAACATCAAGCAATCGTCAAAGTGCCACAACCCTCTCTGGAGAACCCATTTTTCGGGTTGATTCATCAGGGATATGAAACAAGTAGGTTGATTCTCCTAATTGTCTAGTGAAGATCCTACACTTTTTTCCCCAAATCCGAGTAACTACCGCTTGTATTAATCCTCTAGAGGGAGCAGAACAACGGTAAAACTGTCCAACAATAAACTCCTTTTGATTCTCTAAACCACCTAAAAGGACGTGGCTGGGAATTTTTATCTTAGGAGTTCCGTCTTCCATGAACTCCAGGATAGTTACTCTGTGAAGATTACGCATCGGTTGGTTCATTTTGGCGGCCCAAGGATACTCCTTTGAATGTTCCTTTAGAGCAGCTATCTCTGTTTCTGACCCGAGTGAAGCAGATGCTGCTGCCTTGGTGACACTAGGTTGACGAGTACGATTTACAGCCCTCAATTCTGGCCAATGCGAGTTTGCATTGTCTGTAGCAACAGCTTCCAATTGATGGGTTGTAGAAGCAATAATCAGAGGCTTCTCCCAAGCTCATTTACCTACAGAGGAAGGAGGTTGATGTTTCTCAGATGTTGGAGCAGATGGACCAACAACATCCATCCAATGAAATTCCACTTTCCGGGAGCTTTTCAGGGGCTGTTTGTATTTCGCCGCTGGTATGTAAAGGAGATGTTTGCGCTGCTTGCGCTACATTCTTCTTCTCCGGTTCAGAAGCCCCATCTATTTTTGCTGGTTGAGGAGAAGAAGAGGAATTCTCCATCCAGCGCCGAAGTTACGGCCAGCGAGGGTCTGGAGATTTGGGAGCTGTCTCACTGGCGATGGTTTTGACAGTGGAGAGAGCACCAACAGATTCTTCAGGCTTTTTCTGTCGATGGGGTGATTCGAACTTGGACAGATCCATGACGTGAGAAAGAGCCAATTGAAGGTAAGTTTGAGGCTCGCCGTTGAAGAGAACAGGAGAGCAGCCGGCAACGAAGCCGTGACGGTGGCGTCGTCGAGGGTGATGGCACTTTTAGGTTTACTTCTCTTGCCTCGAGAGCATCATGAAAAAATCCTTTCCCGGTATTCTTGTGGGCTTGTGACTCCGTATAAATCTCATGCTTATGACTCCGGCTAATCTGACTTTGTATGATACTTTTAGATTTTATAATAATTTATAAAATGACAGAATAAGAGACGCACATGTACTACAAAAGCTGTTTAGGGCCACGAAAGAGCTACAAGCGGTTGTGGCTATAGTTTAATAGTTACAAATCAAACACATCTAGTTTAATATATAAAAGATAGAGGGAGTTCTTTAAAGATTGACAACGCAACATAGTATTTGTGTACCAATAAGAAATTAATATTTATTTTCTTTATTAATGCATATACAAACTATTTTTTTTAATATATTGATGCGTGTTCGTGTCAACTACGTGAGGGAACAAGTTTTACCCTTAACAAAACAAATGAAAGCCGCAAGTGCACAGCTGATCAGTTGTAGTATTCAGGGATCGAATCCACAGAGATTTGTGTGCCTGGTATTCTTCTACGGTTTTTAACTTTATGTCTAGACTAAATTGGTTTTAAAGGTTGGTTATTTTTCTTGCGAATTAAACTAAAGCAAAAGAAAGCAAATAAATCTATCCTAAAAAGCAAGTAAAGAAAATCGAATGAAATGCAAATGGAATAAGTAAAATATCGAACTAAACAAAAATAAGGCAAGTAAAATATCGCATGAAAAGTAAATAAAGCAAGTAAATAACGAACTAAGGAAATTGAAATGCAGGTCTAAGAAAGCAAGTAAAAATCGATGGAATTGTAAGCTATGGCTAAAAACGCTGAGCTTTTGGGAACTCTAAGGGATCATAATCGATTTTAACACTAAGGTAGATAGATTGGGATTGACGGATAACAATATATGGGTTCTAGAGCTAGAGTACGGCGATATGACTACGTCACTGTCGTGATCATAACCAACTGTTTCTCGCAACCCTGACCAGTAGGTTTCCACTCTGGCCCTGGAAGGGAGAGAACGCAAGAGCTGCACAAGACTCGTCAATACTCACGATCTCGCCGCAGGTAGGTTTCCACTCCTACGGAAAAATTACCTGTTTCATTCTAGGGCTGATACTTAATGAAAACTTTCGCAACACTAACTATCTAGATCAGACACTAGGTGATCAATCAAGCATACATGCAATAAGAACAAGAATAAACAGAGAACAGGTCGAAATCCTAGATCTATAAACCTAGATGTCTTAATCGATTATGAGAGCCCCTTTTGGGAACCCTAAGCCCAACTCGGGATCTACTCAGAAATGGCTGAGTTCGACATCATCATTGGTTTTAATAAAAGTAATGAAAAACAGTAAAGAAAAGAGATAAAGAAAGCTTCTCTATTGAAGAACTCGGACTTGAACAATCTTCTACAAAAATCTCATAAAAACGGCTAAAGGAAAATGGTTTCTGTAAAGTATGAATGGCTCTCTCTAAAAATGACCTAAATGACATGTATTTATAGGCTCCAATGCTCCATGGTCTCTAGGGTTCCGGAATTGAGGCTGAGAATGACTTTGGGCTTCAGATAAGTGGGCTTTAAGTCGGAGCTTGAATGCCGCGGTCGGGAGTGTTGTGACCGCGGCAATTGGCTTGTTGGCCGCGGTCGGGAAGCTTCTGACCGCGGCAAATAGCTTGTTGGCCGCGGTCGCGTGAGCTGCTGGCCGACTTCGAGTGGCTCCGGGGCTAATGAAATATCTTGAGATCCAACCGTTGGAATGTCTCCAAACCAAGTGCAATTGAAAGCTGGTTGATTCTTCTATAAGTTGTCCAATTTTGAGGGTGATCAGACGGTGAGAAGGTCTTCGTCTCTCCATGAGAGTTCTGACGGTCTGCATTTATCCAAAAGAGTCTTTTTGTTCCATTTTGTGCCTCTTTATCCCAAATTACCTGAAAAGTCTTTTAAAATCCGGAAACATAGAAATCCTTTGAAAACCTTTGAAAATGGAGTAAAAACACCTGTAAAAGATATTAAAATGATCCATAAAAATGGTCAAAATCCGGTGTTATCATATATATGAAACAATCATTTAAGTTATTCAACTCTCTTTAGCTTAGTGACACATGAGTAGTACAGAGAGTGACATTTAAAATATTAATAAAATAAAATCAAATTTAAAGTAAACATATTAAAGAACATAAGTAAATATTAATATATATTTATATTAGAATGAAATTCAAATTAATTTAAATATATAAAAACTTATAAATATAATATAATATAAATTTTTTTAAATGTATCATTCTATTTTCTTTTTTCAAATGATTTAAACTTTATTTTCTGATACTAATTGTGAAATTCCGTTCCCTTCTTCCCTTCCGAGAACCAGACGGACCGGCTATCAAATCCATGAGACCCCGAATCCGCCTTTTCATTTGGATTGACTATCAACTCTGAACGCCTCCAACCGCCCCAACTAGTGAGCCCAACGTCCTCTCTAGGTCCATGGGCCCAACGTCCTCTTTCTAGACCTATTGGCCCAACATCCTTTTTCTAGACCCGTTGGCCCAACATCTTTTCTAGACCCATTGGCCCACCCTTATCCGACGGTCGGGAGTTGCTTGGTCCAGAAGGCTCGTAAGACTTGTCTACTGTTCCTACAATCACCACATAATATTTTTCTGTGCTTTTATCCTCACTCACACGGTACTATGGACTACTTCCCAGTAGGTCACCATCCTGAGATTGCTCTAGCATAAGCACGCTTAACTCTGGAGTTCTCTCAAGACACTTGACCGGAAAAGATAAGTGCACTTTGATGACATATGTAGCCAAATCAATTTTTATAAGTCTTTTCACATATACCGGAGCATTTGTGTACCAATAAGAAATTAATATTTATTTTCCTTATTAATGCATATACAAACTATTTTTTTGTCATATATGAAACAACCATTTAAGTTGCTCAACTCTCTCCAGCTGAGTGACACATTAGTAGTAGAGAGAGTGACATTTAAATATTAATAAATAAATAATTGATCAAATTTAAAATAAACATATTAAAGAACATAAGTAAATATTAATATATATTTATATTAGAATGAAATTCAAAATTAATTTAAATATATAAAAACTTATAAATATTATATAATATAAATTTTTTTAAATGTATCATTCTATTTTCTTTTTTAAAATGATTTAAACTTCATTTTGTGATACCAATTGTGAAATTCAGCTCCCTTCTTCCCTTCCGAGAACGAGACGGACCGGCTATCAAATCCATGAGACCCCGAATCCGCCTTTCATCTGGATTGACTATCAACTCTGAACGCCTCCAACCGCCCCTACTAGTGAGCCCAATGTCCTCTCTAGGACCATGGGCCCAACATCCTCTTTCTAGACCCGTTGGCCCAACATCTTATCTAGGCCCATTGGCCCAGCCATGTCCGACGGTCGGGAGTCGCTTGGTCCGGGAGGCTTGTAAGACTTGTTTACTATTCTTGCAATCACCACATAATCTTTTCTCGTGCTTTTATCCTCACTCACACGGTACTATGGACTACTTCCCAATAGGTCACTATCCTGAGATTGCTCTAACATAAGCACGCTTAACTCTAGAGTTCTCTCAAGACATTTGACCGGAAAAGATAAGTGCACTTTGATGACATATGTAGCCAAATCAATTCTTATAAGCTTTTTCACATATATCGGAGCATTTGTGTACCAATAAGAAATTAATATTTATTTTCCTTATGAATGCATAAACAAACTATTTTTTTGTCATATATGAAACAACCATTTAAGTTGCTCAACTCTCTCTAGCTGAGTGACACATCAGTAGTGGAGAGAATGACATTTTAAATATTAATAAAATAAATAATTAATCAAATTTAAAGTAAACACATTAAAGAACACAAGTAAATATTAATATATATTTATATTAGAATGAAATTTAAATTTAATTTAAATATAAAAAACTTATAAATATTATATAAAATAAAACTTTTTAAATGTACCATTCTATTTTTTTTTAAATGATTTAAATTTCATTTTTAAACTAAAAATATAATCAAATTTTAATGTATAAAAAATTTATGAAACTGAATAAGATAAGAAGTTTCAAATAATCTCATATTAAATTTCAACTAATAAAATTATAAAACACAAAATATTTAAGAAATTATTAAAGAAATAAAAATTATTAAAAAAATAATAGTAAAAAGAAGGATGTTTACATAAAAATGTCCTACATGTTTTTTTTTTAATAAAGAAAAAAGATAAAATCAATAATATATATAATAAAAAAAAATAAAAATGGCAAATTGAGAAAGTTAACAAATATTATATTAGTAAGATTTACAAAAATAAAAAAGAATATAAAGATCAAAAAACAAATAAATATTATTCTATGATATTCAACATATATTTTAAAGTGAACTATTATGTTTTCATACAAAAATTAAATAGTAGATTTTAGTCCCTTATTATATTGGGAGAAAAATTAGTATTTAGCAAAACTGGTGTAGAAGAGATTACAAATAATGTATCATCAAGAAGAAATCAAAGAAAATATAAATATTTTAAACGCAAAAACATTGATAGTAAACATAAAATTCAA